TTGTGCCTCAACATTTTCGTGAAGAAAAAATTTATCGAAGAATTTATTATTGTAATTATATCCCAAATTATCAAGATACATCTATTACTTTTCCCATTAATTGCAGGACTTGTCATGCAACATTTTGATTTTGAATAGTTATTCAGAAGGGATAATTTACGTTATGATTGAAAGCAGTTTGATGCCATTTCTTTTTATTAATGCGTTACGGCCGATCGAATAATTATACGTGCACGTGCAAATACGATTCACGTCTATAAATCGAACATCCGGCCGTGACAACGTGGGCGTAGGAGAGTTCGGTGAAAGTGCTAAATGGCCGACAATATGTGATGTAAGAGACGGACTCCGCAATTTGTCATGATCCGTCTAGTCATTGCTATTGCTTCTTCCTCATAGTTCACGTTCTAATCCCTCCCAGATATCATATAATAAGCGTGATTAATGACAACCTAGTGACAAGAATACCGTCATATTTTATTTATCTAATCTGCCGAGGTATTCAAAATTGTTTGCATTATATAATATAAATGTCGATTTCCTAATTGAAAGTCATTTTTAAAGATGAATGGAATAAGTAAACCTTTATCAACAATAGTTTGTTCAGAGGGGATTTAAATCTTCATTCATATACTCATACGTATTAAGTGAAAGAGTATTTTCATTCTTATTCGCGGGAGAATGCAATGTATCTCTGATTTCTGAATGAAAAGTATTTACATCGCGTGCAGTGTAAAAATTATACTACGGCCGACATATCATTACATACCGATTTAAAGAGTTGTTTAAAAAAAAAGCTGGAAAAAAATTTACTTATCTTTACCGAAAACATCTCACGAGATTTGCGATTTTTCCGACTTAGAGAAAAATCTCCGAATCGCACGCATCGGCAGTTGATCGTTAAATTCTCGATTCACAAATAATTTGCAAATGAGTAATGGATTGATTAGCGAGGCCTTGGGCGTAATCGGCAGCGGCGCTAACATCTTAATTAATAGCGAGCGAGGACGGACGACGATTACGTAATGTGTCTTTTTATAGTCACCGTAACGCAGAACGCAATGACATTACGGATGCTCGACGTCATTCGCGGTTTCGTGAGCCATCGCAACGCGACGCTTTTCACTCGCGAAATAATACGCCGCCGCTCGCACATCGCAAACTAGACGAGCTCTCCTTTTCGCAAATTTAATCTCTTCGACGAATCTTGTACCATATATAACTTGCACTCGAACTAATTAATTTAACACAATATGTTGCTACAAAGCAATAGTGGTGATAAAAATTATCTTACCTCGCACTTAACAATATAAGAACAATCATCCGATTTGTTCTTGCAATTGCATACTATATAAATAATTTATTGCAAGATCAAATCTGGCAAATTTCAATATTTAACGTCGGGAAACTCGGTTCTTTACTGTTTTTCTGACTAAGTGTATCAGATAATTCTTTTATTAATGCAAATTTGGATATTTGTATTTATTATTTGCGTCTTAATATTTGGATATGATTATTGATAAGTTTTTAATTTAGAAATTAAAAACGTTAATCCTTGGAGCTTCGAAGAAATTTAAACATAAAGTATCTTCCTCATATCACGATTTCGAAAGATTAACTTTCTTCCGCGAACTTTCTTCGGCGGTGTGCGCAGCAGAATGCATCGCGAGTATTTGAAATCAAGCACTTGAGATGCTTGCGTAGACCGATAAAGCCGGTGTACAGTTGCGGAAGAATTTTAACGGCCTGGCCGTAAGGTAACCGGCCGAATGACAGGAATAAGAAAGGCTAATTAGACATTTAAAGCACTTAAAAACTTGTTCCGGTGTTTGAGAAACAAATTCAGTTAATTAGACCGCAAACCAGAAGAAATGCAAAAAAAAAGTGAAAATCATGAAGAAACGTGATTGAAATACGTAAATGAAGTGTCCATTACGAGTTTTTGTTAGAATGCGAGATATTAAAAAAAAAAACATAAATTTATACAAACATATTTAAATCGTTGGCAAACGAATGATGAGACAAACAGCTGATTAAATAATAAAATAAAAATAAAACGAGATTACGGGAATGGATTAACATATTGATTTCGAATATAATTATGCGAGATTATCTAACAACAGTGTGACGGAGCACTTTTGAGACGATTCATTGTGCCTTCAACGGTCTCACCGATGAGTTGTCGGCAAAGATTTCGGGTGTCTCCCCTCGCGGCGGTGAACGACTTCGTTTTCAGTGTCATTGACGTTTGAAAAAGTTCTAAGATTAGTGCAAATAGAAAATTGGGACCGGTAGAAACCGCCGTTTACACTCGAGCTGTTCGACATATCGGTCGATACGAGCCGTATACCTATATATATACGCTTTTGCTTTCTAAATGTTGCGACCCTCGAAGATGTACGGAGATATACCGGGACCTCTCGAGAAACATCCTCTTGTTATTTGGGTTACCTCCGACAAGCGCACGAATCCGTTTCCTATCTCGACCGCGCGGATTGCCTATATATTGCCGTTTTATCTTGCCTCGGGTTTCAAATTTCTCTTCCTAATTATGCTGTGCCGCGACACGAGATTTTGAAAGATAAAAGTGTAATAAAGGAATAGTGCGGGAAGATAAAACGCGTTTCGACGGGAACGAAAGTCAACAATAATTTATGCGTACAACGATCGTCCATTCTCCGCACCGTGAAATTTTATTTTGAAGGATCGAAATATTTTTATCCGATTGCACAATGTAGGAAGAATGTTTAATTCTATGCATTAAACGTTCGAATTAATTTAAGATTGATGGGATTTTCAGAGAGTTTCCTATTCCTTTAACATTTTGGAGTCTTTTCTGCGTAATTATGCAGTATAACATGTAATTATACATGAATTCGGTTCCGACCGACCGAAAGCGGATATCCTCGCGGCAGAGGGAACGAGTATCCGCCCCGCGGCGTTTTTGCCCCGCGGATCGGGCTCTCATGCCTGCGGATTCGAAAATCTGGAGCAATCAACGGGCAAACGGGTGAATGATTTACGAACCGGACCGGAATGGCGAGAATGTTATACCCCGAGTTTCGTGCGTGAATGTCGAGAGGCGCATGTCAACTCTCTAGCGGTCGGCGCGAACGAGGGAATTCACTTTCATCCGTGAGTTGGCGCGACGTGTTAAACGGATATATGCACTTAACGTAGTTTAACGTCTATCGTTAAACGTCACTTGAACGCGCCTGCCTCCGTCGATCTCCGGCGGTCTTATCGTTTTCTACTCTTTGTCGCCCGACGTTCCTCCCTCTGATACCGTTTTCACGCTTCCTGATGGCAAGCGAGAGTGCCCCGGCCACTCTCGCTATCACTCTGGAATCTCAACCTCGTTAGAGATCTAATTTTCCCAGCTGCTCGTTGTCGCGGCCCCGCGCGCATTGTTGTCTCCGCGCGATAAAAAGCGGAAAATGCGCTTGCATATACTCCGTATGCACGAAACCGTTCTCCGGTACGCTTTCACCCGGCTGACGCCGAGGAGCGGTCGCGTCGTTGGAAGAAAATCGCGCGGTCGTAAGCTTCGCGCAAAACAGAGCGATTAAGTGCGCGGCAAGGGATCGTCGGTAATTCTTTCTATGTTACAGGATTACATTCGACTGTCTTTAAACGACCCCGATTCCACGCTCTCGCCATTAAAATACCTATTCAGTTTCACAACCAATTTCGCCGTGTTTGATAGACGACATCCATTTCGCTTCGCTTATCTATTATGTATCACGACTTTGATGATACTAAATTGCACAAACAATAATAATAATTGTATGTTGAGATATCTTAGGATTTCACTTAAGCTAGCTTTATTTTATATTGAATTTTTTAAAAATAATATTTAATATTTATATTAATACAATTATGTTTCTTGCTAATGTTACTTGGTGTAAAATATAATAAAAATTGTCGTTAAATTTAGATGGGCATAAAAATTATATACATCGCGATTTCTTCAAGCTCATTCTTTAAAGATGCGAAACAAATAACTTCGTTACATGTGGGAAGTATAGAGTTTCTTAATTTCTATCCTTGCATAAATGTTTAAATAATTAAAATAATAATTTGCAGAAATGTTTGAATTTTTAAAATGTTTTTAAATATTTTTAAAAAGATATATGTTTTACATAAATATGTATAGAAATATTCGCCATACTATTGTATACAAAATATCATTTTAACGCAAGAAGCGATCAATGATCTAGAAATCAGTTTTGAAATTATGGATTCTGGTTATGATTTAGAAAAATACGATATGTATTAAGTTATCATTAATAATTATGTTTTCTGTATTGCTGTCGTACCAACATCTATTATTAATAGGAAATAGCGTAGCTTTCGCAGCAGACTCGTGGGACAGCGACCGGTTTTGGTTCGAAAGAACATAAAAAACTTTGTCTTTAGATATCTAAGGCACGTCGGCGTGTTTCCGTTCTTTCTCTTTCCGACAATATATCGAAATAATCTGGACCGCGAGAGATAACCTTGTCGCATAACCTTGCGAGACTTGAACTTCACCGTTGAAACACACGCGCGGAAATAACCGGGAGGTTGAAACCGCTCTTGGTCGCTCGACCGGATCGTGCTCTCGATCACTTTCTCCGAGTGGATGATATAGCTCACCTGGACGGGGATCTGGTCGCGCGCCGGAAGTGGGGGTGTTAGAAGGAGGATGGTGGAGGAAGAGAAGGAAGAGGAGGGTTTCGATCGCAAGGGGTCCGGGACCCAAAACGACGGCGGGCACTACCACCACCTACGAGATGGAATTCCTCGATTTCCACCACGTGGGGGCACCGACGGGACCACCTCCACCGTTCGGACGGTTCGCCATCACCGCCGTTCGCACGTCCGCTGCTTCCTTTACCTTCCACCGGAATGCTCCCGCGGTGGATGCCTTCAGGGGAGGATACGCGCCTATATAACTACGGCGTTCCGGTGATTGGACGAAGTAAGCTACGTTTTCCTGCGCCCAGGGAACAGGAGCACGCGGTCCGAGCCCGACGGGCGGCACTGCGAGAAATATGAGGATTCGCCCGGGATGCGCGGTCAGTTTTGTTTCACCATCAATTTTCACTCTTTCAATTCGGTGCTCGGTGTCAATGTTTAAGCGTCGCCCGCGCGTTGTGCCTGCGCGCGTTTCCGAGTCACGCTACAACCGGTTGTACTCCACTCATCATCCGTCTCGCGCGGGTCTTTCGGTTAACTAGCGTGACTTTAATAGTTGCATTGTAACGCGTATTGAAAAGATTTTCCAAGTGCGTTGCTTCAAGTTCGAGAAGATATTATTCTTCGACATTTATTGTTGACTGAACGAGGATGAGTGTTCGGCCTGGCGGATGTAAATCGTTGCCAGGACAGGACGTATAAGTTTTTATTAGCGCTTTAACGGCATTGCGATTCATTATAATCAAGTCAAGGCAAAGAAATTCGTTGTAAGCACGCAGAGATGTTTTTGTGGATTGGTATAAACCTATATATATTTATAGATCCACGGATTTATAAATCTATCGGCCTACAATTTTTTTATCTTTCTTTCATTTTTGATAAACTTTAAGGCTATTAATTTGCAAAAGTATACGCGAATTGAAATTCCAGGATTTTATTTGTACAAATCTATAAACCACGGGACTCATGAATGTGAAATTGCTATCGGAAATCTTTTTATACATAAATGCCAATTTCTCTATGGTTTAGGTCGCTTATTTCATTTAGAAATATTCATGTTACAATGAGTATATGTATCATTATCGGCTAATAAATATCCCATTATGCTAAAATTCTGGTATTTATGTGTACGATTAGTCGTAGATGAATTTTAATAGTTATTTCGCTTATCAATTTGTTTATACTAGAGTATTTTTTTTATTCTAACTTGTTTGGCAAGATTTCAATGAGATTGTAAAAAAAATGAAAAACGAGAGGCAAACATGGATTTTTATCAATAATTGTTTTACTAAAATGAGTTTTTATTATTTCATTGTTTACAGGCTGTACTAGCGCTGCTACTGCAGACCGTTCTTGTGGCGAGTAAGGCTGTGGATCAAACGCAATTGCAGCAGCAATCACAGCGGCAAACTCCGTATGTATGACAACTTTAATAAAGAATAATTTTTTATTCTAAGTCATGTTTGATTGCAAGCTTATGATGTACGTCGTAAAATTTTTTATTAATTTGTGAAAATTTAGTGAGATATTAGCGATTAATGATGCGTTCTAAAGTTTCTTTTTACCTTTTTTGTTTTTGCATTTCTTCACATTTTACAATATCATTGTTTATTTTAATCAATATGGAAATAATCTATAAATCTGAGCATATTATGCAAATTTCAAAATGCTTTTCTGTATACCCTAAAGAAAGATTAAGGTAACAAATATGAATATGAAATGAACTTACTAAGTTTTCGGTGTTGAATGATTGTTGTAGATACGGTACAGAAGCGCAAAAACGATGGGGAGGCGACGGTGGTGATTACGGCGGCGGCGGCGGCGGCGGCGGCGGCGGTTACGGGGGTGGCGATATTGGTGGTCACTTCGGTGGCGGCGGGGACTTCGGCGGTCATTTCGGAGGTGGCGATGACGGCGGTCATTTTGGAGGTGGCGATGGCGGTGGTCATTTTGGAGGTGGTGACGGTGGCGGTCATTTTGGAGGTGGTGATATTGGCGGTCATTTTGGGGGTGGTGACATCGGCGGTCACTTAGGCGGCGGCGGTGATATCGGTGGTCATTTAGGTGGAGGTGATTTTGGAGGTGGAGGCGATGATCATCATGGCGGCGGTGATCATCATGATGATCACCATGACAAGGGTTACTGGAAGAAGAAGTTAGTCTGGAAACCGGGCTGGAAGAAGATCTGGAAACCGGCGAAGAAGCAAATCTGGAAACCCGCGTGGAAGAAAATCTGGAAGCCTATTTGGGTGCCGACGCAGAAAGCGGTGTGGAAGGAGATTCAAGTACCCGCTTGGAAGAAGATCTGGAAGCCTGTGTGGAAGGAGATTCAAGTGCCGGTGTGGAAGGAGATACAGGTGCCGGCTTGGAAGAAAATCTGGAAGCCGATTTGGCAGCCGATCAAGGTGCCCGCTTGGAAGGAGATCCAAGTACCCGCGTGGAAAAAGATCTGGAAGCCGGTTTGGAAAGAGATTCAGGTACCAGTGTGGAAAGAAATTCAAGTACCCGCTTGGAAAAAGCTCTGGATCCCCGAATGGGTAAAGGTTGGCATACCAGGTGAACACTTTCACGGCACGGATCATCATGGATGGCAATACACCAGCCATGATCTTTGGAAAAAGAAGTTGATCTGGAAGCCAGTGTGGAAAAAATATTGGAAATCGGCAAAAAAACAGATCTGGGTCTCGGACAAGAAGCTCGAGTGGAAAGAGGCTTGGAAGCAGGTTTGGAAGCCAGCGAAGAAGCAAATCTGGGTGGAGGATAAGAAGCTGGCCTGGAAAGAGGCGTGGAAACAGATCTGGAAGCCGGGCAAGAAACTCGTCTGGGTCCCTGACAAGAAACTCGAGTGGAAGGAGGCTTGGAAGCAAATCTGGAAGAGCGACAAGAAGCTGGAATGGATCCCCGACAAAAAGCTCGCTTGGAAGGAGGCGTGGAAGCAGATCTGGGTGCCTGCTTGGAAAGAGATCTGGGTACCAGCGTGGAAGAAGATATGGAAGCCTGTCTGGATATCCGAGTGGTTCCCCAGCGAGGACCATCATCATCACCATGGCTGGGACCGCAAGGACACGCAAGCACAGAATACGCAAATTGTGCCCTACAGCCCCGAGAAGGGTGCCCCTCAGCAGAAGAGGCAAGCGCAGCAGCAACAGCAGCAGCAGCAGCAGCAGCAGCAGCAGCAGCAGCAGCAGGGACAGCAACAAGCGCAGCCGCGACAGCAGCAGGTACAGCAACGTCCGGCGGACAGTAAGAAAGTCGGATGGGACAGGTCTTTCCAGGCGAGTTCGCCGACGATCACGCAGGACTTGGTACCACCGCCGATCAATCAAAACGGGGGCCAAGCCAGCTTTGCGTTCCCTAGCCGCTGACAAGGCTAGATTTCCGGGTGCAGAATAACCGCACTATAATCCACAAAAAAAATGCTTGTACAAACATCTCCACGGGAGAGTGTAACATAAGCCGCTGTATATATTACTTCTTAGGATTAAGATAAGATCGCGTAAAACTTAAGTTACTCGAAATTATTCGACTGACGCGCTTCCTGTCCCTCGAGGTATCACTTTTACCTTGACACCTCGTAACCTTTATTTTTCCCTTTTCTTGTTTTCCATTTTTTTTTATACGTTGTTGTCTCTTCCAATTGTTAACTAATACTGTTACGAATAAAGTTTATAAGTATTTTGTTAATTCTTTAGGTTAACTTTATTTTACCCTTGGCCTTCAAGTATTATATTATTTCTTTACATATATTATTTCTTTTTACATCGTAAAGAATCGTAATAAAACTTTCACTCGGTTGTTTTCTTGACATGATGATAGAATAAAAATAAATAAGATATACAGAGCAGGAATGTAGAAAATATCTTTAGTCAAAAAAAAGAAAAGTTATACGCAAATTTTTATTTCTAGATGTATACGGAAATACGTAGGAAGAACGAATTCAACGCGGAGAAAATTTTTAAAATATCGAGTGCGTTCAGTAAATACGGTTGAATATTCATTGTGTGCAGCAAGCGTATATAATTGACGTATACTTTTAGATCTAGACAAATCGCATGTACTTTCTAAAAGTCATTCAGTTATTTTCCTTGCTGATAATGTAAATAAACAAACATTATATTTGTTAAATGTTAACTACTTGTTCTTATCTGATATATTTTTTCATCTTAACAAAACACTTTAGATTTAATTTTCTATTTTAGATTTCTCGAAAAATGTACAACAAATTAGCATTGAATGGGAGAGAAAGCACTGATATATATATGTATCATATACTTATATCTTTATCATTTCATATAATTTCATTGATTGCGGAAATACACTTTAGAATATAAGGATAAGCGCGAGCAAGGTAAACTGCACCATAAGAGAGATAATTGAATGATACAAGAAACATTATCTAGAATTACTTTACACGGAATTAACCATAAATAACATGTCCGTTTTTTAAGAAATATAAAAGTTTTGAAATATGGTAATCTGACGATGGAATATTTAGAAAAGAAATATGCTGCGTATCGGTATAATTTAATGAAACAGATGTTAACAATAATGCTAAATTGATCAATTAATTTTTATTATAGGCATAAAAATAATTATAAAAAAGTAATTCCTCTTTTTACAATCGATTTAATGGACGTTGACTCTCCTTCTGTATCACATATCGGAAAGAAGAGCCGAAGTTGAGAGTTTCGCATTATTTCGTTGCGATAATCGTTTCCTCAGAAAACAAACTGTCTAAATGGTCATCCTAATTCCAAAGTAAATCGCCGTCGTTCCGAACTTATATGAGGCGAGGATGATGCAACGCGAATACGCGCACGTATCCCCTGCGAAATTGGAGAAAGTGGAGTCTGTTATGGCAGGCAGAGGCGACCAGCATGTAGAGGACCTCGACCGTGGAGAAAGTATCCGTGCACCCACACAGCGGTATAAATTAATCCATGCCATCGCGCTGTCCGTCCCGGTACGGGCGCACCATATTGCGCGACGCAGACTCCCGCTCGCGATTGATAGCGATGACGACGGGATTTCACTGGCGCCAACTACGGAAGAGTGGATTTTTCTCTGATCGCGCGACGACCGAACGCAAAGAAATAACAAAAAAAAAAGAAAAGAAAAGGAAAGAAGAGAAGAGAAGAGAATCAGAGAAATCGCGATACGTTTCCCTGTATGTCGTTTCCCCGACTGTGACAAGACAGGAAGCATTTTCACTTTCATCTGACGTTGACTCTCGTCCGGCAGATCTTTGCGCGCGTACGAAATTTCGTGGGAGTTCACGCGACGTAATTCTATCTTGTCGTCTCTTCCTTTACGGAAGTTCCGTTTTGCAGAAATTTCCGAGAGAGATATATTTTATAGCCTGCACGATGTCTCGATGTTTTGTTTAATTTATTTTCCGCGCTTAATAGCGTCGTAAACGCAGAATGTGCGAGTAAAGTGCGCTCCTCTTGGAATTTATGGCTATTCTTTTGTAGCGGTAATGTCACTTGACTTTTTTCAAAGCAATTTCCGATGACAAGTAGTTAGACAAACTGCATGCCCAAGGTCAGTCTACTGGGAAATTTCTTTTCCACGTTGTCTCTACGCCGTGCGCATTCGTATGCAAATTTGGGAGCTGCGAGTAAGCGCAGTGTGACCGATTATTGTGAACAAACATTTTACAACATAATAGAAGATTTCTATAGGTATCACAGGCTTCACACGAAATGAGAGAACAATGCCCCATACCCGCGTCACCTCGACTTCATTTTCACCAGAAATTATGGATAAAGAATATCTTGGCAAGCTTATTATTCCCAAACAAATTAGTCTGAATTCGTTTTCTCCTCGGGAACTTGCCAAAAGAAAACGTCCCAAACTTGCTAATTAACATCCTTGATTTCAGTAATTTCATCAGTTCTATTTTTTGGTTAACTTTTAATAAAACGGTAAAAAAAAAATTAATACATGCGTTTTAAATTTAAATAATTAATATTTTTACACGATACACAATATTCTGAAAAATGAATTTTCGTATCTACAAATGTTAATGCAAAAGATTCTCGCGATCTTTTTATCGCTGCTATAAATTTATTTATAGCAGGTATAGCTTAAAAAGAAATATCGTCGTGTTTCAATAGCCAGATTCAAGGTGAGAGCGAGCGTACTTTGAAAGAGTGAAGACAGTGACGAAAACGATATTTTTGTTTCGAGTTCATAAGGGTCGCCTGATAGGATCGGCGTAGTGACTATAATAGCCGTTTCGTTTTACCATATGTATATATTTATATGTGTTTGTGTTTATGTGTGAGTGTGTGTGTGTTTTCACACACCTACACCGTACGTAGATATAAATATATAGAGCACAGATTCATATAAACTGCAGCAGAAGTTACAAAGTAACGTATCTCGAAACATTCAAAGATGCTGCTCCTGACATTCTCTCTTCTCTGCATCTTTATTTGTTTCTACTGCATCTACGATTGCATGAAGCCGAGAAATTATCCACCCGGTAAGTGACAAGATATTTAACAAGAAAGGTGACATTTAATTTCGAAGCGTTTAATTTTGTGATATTACGAGCAATTAGTGCCCAAACATTCACACAATAACATGCATTTCTGCACTTTTCATGCGCATATCTTTCTCAAGTAAAAACGATTTCGTTGTTCTTCACGCTATAAATATACAATAGATGCTAACAGATGTCTTGATACAAACATTACAATTTTTAATATCTCTGAAAGTACTTAATTCCGAAAGCTGATCTTTCGAGAGAAAGTCATAGGGTTTTGAAAAATACATGGAGTTTCTTGAATATTTAATTTATTTTTGGAATTCAGTTCCGCCGTAGATGACATTATTTTATCTTCTTAATTAATTTTCAATTCTAAAATAATTTTATCACTAAAATCTTTACATTCGTCTAAATTTAAAGTTTTTATTTTTAATAATCAATATTATATCGTAATAATCATATATCAATAAAGACATGTCGATAAATAGTTTTTCTATACATTTCTTGAAGAATGCGTGTATAGCATGACATAAAGTGTGGAAGAAATAGTCATTATAATCACACTTTTGTCGATATTGCGTTATAAAAATAATATCCAATATGTACTCAAGTCCCAGACGATTATTAAAATTAGCCATTTTACTATTAAGATAATTATTCATCTTACTTCATAAGTATGTATCTTAATTTAAAGTTTAGATCCAAAAATATTCTAATAATGCTAACATTTAATGATATATGATGATCTTTTGATATTTTGCTGAGCAAAAATACTGAAGATAAATTAATTATTTATTATATTAATATCTACACTGCAAATCCAAGTGTGTATGTCTAAATTTTTACATATTTTATCTGTGTTTTACGCAATTAAATGCATATTTTTTACGCGCTTACACATACTATTATAAAATTAAGCGTTAAAAATATGCATTTAACTGTGTAAAACAGATAAAATGTGTAAAAATATAACACGCATATAAATGCGTAAAAAGTGACTACAGATTTACACACTTGGATTTGAAGTGTACAATTATGAAACTCTATGCACGAATATTTGCACACATCAGGACCAACGTGGATACCGTTACTCGGATGTTTGCTGAAGTTCTTACGGCTACGCTCGAAATACGGATACATTTATATGGCTCTGCAAGATCTGAAGCGTACGTATGGGCCGATATTAGGATTAAAGCTCGGAACTCAAAAGGTGGTGGTGATTTCGACGTACGATCTGGTGAAGAATGCTCTTCTTCAAGATGAATTCAATAACCGGCCGGACGGATTTTTCTTCAGGGTACGATCGTTCGGGAAAAGAAAGGGTACGTAGCTATACTTATATATAGTACGCGAAATTAATTCCTAACATTTGAAATGAATACGTCAGAGATTCTGAAAATTATTCACTTTCTTTAGCAACAATAAAAAAAAGAAATAAAGTCTTTGTGTTTCTCTCATTTCATTATTCAAGCGACATTTGTTATTCAAGGCGTTCTATTCACCGAGGGTACCACGTGGTCGCAGACTCGTAAATTTACAATGCGGCATCTGCGAACGTTTGGCATAGGTCAGTCCATTATGAAAGAACAATTGACCCTGGAGGCTCGGAATCTCGTTGATCATCTACAACTGATAAGCGAGCGTGGCGCGGTGATGATGCACAGGGTCTTCGATGTCGCGGTGCTCAACTCGCTGTGGTTCATGATCGCCGGGCACAGATACGAGTACGAGGACCAAAAGCTGCAAGAAACGCTCGAAACGGTTCACGATGCCTTTAGGTAAATCTTAATAAGAGGCGGTCCGTGTTGTTTGACAAAACAAACACTCAAGAAGAAAGCGTATATATACACTTATTTTCGCAAGAAAAAAAAAACATCGATATTTTACACAGATTAATGGACAACCTGGGTGGAGTGATTTCGCAAGTGCCTTTTTTACGTTTCGTGATCCCGGATTTGTTAGGCTACAATGAACTAATGAGGATTCTCAACAATCTGTGGCGCTTCCTCGACGAGGAGATCAAGATACACGAGAGAGAGTTATCCGATCAGCCACGTGATTTGATTGACGCGTTTCTTTTGGAGATTCGTAAAAATGATAAAAATGAAAATACGATTTTTGACCGTAAGTTAATGTGTGTCGCACAATGTGAAACTTAACACTTTACCTAAACACCAGGAGCTTGCTCAAATGAAATTATCATTTACTCACTTCATTTATATTGAATTTTATAATTGATTTTTAAATGAATGATTAAGTTTCTTTTTGCGCTGAAAATTTCCTTGCGTTGTTAAATATTCTTACGTTGATTGAATTTGTCTGTGATATTTTTACAAAATATCAGACCTTTTCGGAATTATGTCTTTATAAAATGTAACGATAATTGAAATTAATAAGAGATGCGCACGCGATCGTGTTATAATCGTCAATATTTTTCCTCGTCTAGTAATTTTTCACGTGCGACAATATAACGAAATAAGTAATAAATTACCGTTGACACGCGTGCATGTTTCACGCTGCAGGTGAGAATTTATTGATACTGTGTCTTGATCTCTTCCTGGCCGGGTCGAAGACGACCACTGACACCTTAGCGACTACGTTTCTCTTCCTATCGCTGAATCCGAAATGGTTGAGGATACTTCAGACCGAGTTGGACGGTGTCGTTGGTAGGTCACGAGCTCCAACCGAGGATGATTTACCATCCTTGCCACTAACGGAAGCTTTCTTGGCCGAGGTAATGTAAGAAAGAAGAAGTTATGAACTACAGGATATAGACTATTATGTGCAAACCGACGGAGTATATAAATCATCGATTGCTGACAGAAAGATTTAAGAAAAGATAGATAGATTCGAGAAAAGTCTCATTGCAACAAAATTATTAATAATTAATTTTTAAACATATCAGAGATTTCTAGAGAAATAATTTATTTGATTCTAATAATAATTTATGACGGTCAGAAAATAATTAACGTTAGAAAATAATGTTTTCGTGATTTAATTGACGTTTTTTATGTGGTATAATAAATAGAACTAAGTAGCTTTAATAAAATATGTAACTGCCAATAATAATTAGATAATGATAAATATTCATAATTCAGAAAATGATATCGATAGCCTGGTTGCAATGTAAATGACACGAGTATGAATTTGATGTAGGTACAAAGATATTTAATTTTGACTCCACTCGGCGTACCTCATACAACCGCGAAGGACGTTTCTTTAAACGGCTATCAAATTCCCAAGGTAATAAACTATCTGATCTGATATATAACTGTAGCGCGAGCTTCGATATACATACAATTAATATTTCTAAATCTTGATTTTTTCATATCTATTTATTTCAATTATTTCTAAATGTATAAAATAAATATATATGTACGCTTTACTTTTTCTTATTTCTTCTTTCGTGCCCTTCATCAATACGTAAAAAGAGAAATAAAGTATCTGCTCGTGTATATCAAAGTTTGCCGATTAATTATCGATAAACTATATGGTTGCATTTTAAATTGCGTTCTATTATGTGCCGAAATTATAAGAGGATCGTTATTTTGCAGGACACGATTATTCTGTTCGACTATCATAGTGTTCACAATGACGAGGTTTACTGGGAAAAACCGAACGAGTTCCGACCGCAACGATTTCTCGACGAGCAGGGTCGATTCTGCCGGAATAACTACAGCTTGCCTTTCGGTTTAGGTAAATTTCAATAAAGGAAGCTACGGAGAGAGAGACGTAATCAACGCGTCGAAATGTAGCCGCTAATGTCCCACTTTCGCAACCATCATTCGTGCAAAAGTCATTTCTACTTCAGTCTCTCTCTCTCTCTCTCTCTCTATTGCGTAAATTTTTCAACCTTCACGAAGGTATGCGAAAGATAATCAATTCGCTATTGTTTGGGATTAATTACGGGAATGCGAACAACTGTTTCCCATTTCAGGCAAGAGACGCTGTCTGGGCGAGCAGCTGGCGCGCTCCACGTTGTTCCTGTTTTTCACCTACGTCGTGCATTACTTCGACATGGAGATCTCGACCGAGCACGGCAAGCCGGACCTGAACGGCTACGACGGTTTCACCCTGTCGCCGAAACCATATCACCTCAAGCTCACGAGGAGATCCAGCCGCGGGGACGATCATCGCCACGTGACCCGCGCGAGCACATGACTACGGAGTACATTTGGACTTCTGCGAAGGGGCACGATTTCGTCGAACTCGTAAAACGTGCGCGTAAAAGCAAGACTTTCACGGCGTAGAACCAATAAACGCCATTCGCAAACGCCGCCGGGTTCGCGCCGTCCGCCACCATGTACGGGATCGGTTAACGGAAACACAGATCTTTTTGTCAAACAGCGCGCTCGCGCTACGCGTAACACGTGACACACGTAACGCGCATAACGTATAACACATTATGCATAATACGAAGCAGGCCGATTACAAGTGACCGCGTGCGGCGCATTTAACTTGAACGCGATAACACGTAATCCATCATTTAGAGATACGCGTAAGATTTAAGACTTCAGAACGAAAGTATTTCCTTGGGCGGGAGTTATTATGTTGTCTTCTTTGTCACGTTATTTTTCAAATCAATAACTTAAAAGAGATGTTTTTGATCTTTTCGTTAATTAAAGTAAAGAGAATCACGTTTTAACAAACCATTGTGTTTCGCTTATTTCTTCTGCTTACGTCCTCTCGCTTACGCGAGCTCTCGAATCGTGTATACAGAAGTACGGCTTCTGAAAAGCAAACGTACTTTATTCGCAACACGTGGCATTACAGAAACGTTTCATGACAAATCTAACGACGCGCAAGAATACGTGATTTCGATTACTTCTCCGCGCGGTTTGAAATGCTAGACGCGAGTATGAAAGGTAGATGACAGCTTCAATAAACGAACGTAAGTTAATAGAAATGTGCCGCGCGCATTTCTAGCAATTTGCTAGCTCTCACGCGATCTAATACGTGAAAGATGCATCGTGTGTTTCACTTGGAGTTATGGATGTAGGTACATGTCGATATTTCTATCTCATTCGAACATGGTCGGCTTGGCTTATTGTCTTCTTTCAGCGTGTAGGAAGGCGGTAGCTTGAAAAAAATGGGCTTGTAATAAAATTATACTAAAATGTTCTTGTGGTGAAATAACATATAACATATTTAATATGTCATCTACAATATTTAAATCGCTAGTAGAAGCTTGTATTTACAATAAAGTGACATTATCTTGCTAAATTCTTGCATAGTATACTATTTTACGTAATACTTTCTCAGTACTATTTGAAAAAAATAGAAACTACAAAAAGAGAAAATATGAGTTTATGTAGCAACATCCGCCTTTATTATTTTCTTTTTTTTTACTTCTTTCTTCTTCTTTCTTAGGCATAGTATACATTTTATATAGTGCTTTCGGTACTCTTTTAAAAAAATAGAAATTAAGAAAAAAGGGAAAATACAAGTTTATGCACTCAAATCTGCTTCTATCATTTTCTTCTTTTTACTTCTTTTTTTGCGTCGGCTCTGACGCCTATACATATATATATATATATACATTCAAAAAAATATAACAAACAACTAAAACGAAAAATTATAGTCTAATGTAGATTATAGTCTAATATAGACGCTAACACTTGTCCAATTAATAAAATTATAATTCAAAACAAGAATTACTAACTGAATATTGCGGAACAACGCTATTTTATCTCGGAACAATTAACATTTCATAAGGCTTTAGTGACATTATCAATCCAATGGATAAATCCATCTTAATGGATTTTTTACCTGGCACCGGAAGTAAACAATATTTCTGCATTACCCCGACGAACAGCAGGAATAGGGCCGATTTTGCCAAAGCTTCTCCGGGGCATCTTCTCTTTCCTGAGAAAGGAAAAAAAATATATATATATATATTTATATATATATATATATATATATATATATATATAAGTATATTTCACGGATGATGAAACATGGATCGAAATAATCCATTCGCGGGATTCCAATTTGATCGTAATTCGCAGGGCAGAGGATTCCGCGCGAGCGTTAAATTAAGAGAGTACCGTTCATCTTTTTCCTTAACGTGAAAGGCATTCCCAACCTTCCGGTCGCGCCGTGAAATACCCGGAAAGAAAACAAGAAAGAGTTATCGTAATTACATGCATTACGATGCGATATGAGAATGGCTTACATGCAATTAAGCACGTTAACGACGCGCACATGAACAAAACGATCATTTCCGTTTTGCCAAAGAATTTTTGTGACATCTGAGTTTTTCACACATTTATAACTACTATATTTCTTTTAAAAATCTCGCAAAATTTACTCTCCGTAAACCTCAGAATAATTTACTGACCTTTGCCGAATAGAATAATATTTTCTGGCTGTTGATAAGTGCCGTCCTTGCTGATGTATCTCTCTGGCTTGAATAAAGTCGGATCGGGGAATAAATCCGGATCTAAATTGTTCGAATATACATTCATGAGAATGGTAGCGTTCTTCGGTATCTTGTAACCGTCGAGGATTGTATTGTTGAGAACGCGACGTGGCCCGATTATAGGTGTGACGTTCCATAAGCGTTGGCACTCGGTCAATGTCGCTTCCGTGAAGGGCATTCTGTTGATTAATTTGAAATTCGAATACATAAACCAAACGTTCGAGCACGTTTCTCGGATAGGAGAATCGGATAAGAAGAGCACAATATATGTCTCTCCTCTCTTGGAATAAAAAATATAATCTAAAGAAGCAGTTGTACTCTTCTCAAGGACACAAAATCACGCCGTTATTACTTGATTTTGTCCTCGAGCTGGGGAAGCCTGTGGGGACCGATCACGGCGTCGATCTCCTCCTGCAGCTTGCGTTGCACGTCCTGATGATTGGCCATTTGCAAGAAGAGAATATCCAACGACGCTGTCGTGGTGCTGGTGCCGGCGATGAAGAAGTCGATCAACGTCACGAGCAGATTCTCGTCTGAAAAGAAGCGGAGGAGATGATCGCGTGTATGTCGGGCAAACGAGTTCGCCAAGAGGCGAACGCTTTCTCTCGCGCGCACGTACGGTGTGCTTTCATTAACGCGCACCGACCGACGACCGACGGACGGGGCACGCGGGAGGAAGCGTTAATTTCCTCAGCCGAACACCCGAGAGAAGATTGCGAGAGGAAGAAGTGTTTTCTGAGCGTTGTCTCGCTCTCGGTAATATAGAAAGCAACTTGCAGGGGCCGCACCTGAAAACACAGGGGCTTTGTCTCGTTGCTTATCCGTTGCGCTGTTGTACATCTCCAGGAGGAACAAATCGATAAAGTCCATCTCGCTCCCCTTGACATACTGTCTCTTGTGCTCATTGATAGTGTCCTGCAGGTACAATTAAATGACATTAATGCGGCGCGTTAGAAAGAAGCCGAAGTTGAATTGGCATCGAGGTCATCGCGGGGCCGCGCACGTACGCACCATTAGGAAGCCTTTGAGCTCATTGTTTAACGTGACGAGGATGTTGTATCCCGACAGCTCCGGCGCGATGTAACGCATCCAGGGGAAAGCCGCCAGAAAGCCGCCGCTCATATCGAACTGTTGCGCGCGACGATCCAACAGATCTATGAATTTCTGCAACCTGCGAGCAATTGCGGAACCACTATAGTAGAGACAACACTAGACGCCAATTCGCGGCCGACTTCCTTCCTCGAGTTCTCCGGAAATAAATCCCCGGAAGTACCGCGAGTTGCTGAGGAAGCGTATTTTTTTCGTCGATTGTTCCATCGGCGATTTCACATATGTGTACAATACCTCGAGTGGTCCTCAGACGGCTTCCGTCCTGTGATCAGCATCCAGAGAACATTTATCACAGCGGGCGCGAACACGGGTCGTATCTGCCGCACGCCGCCCTCCGCCAGCTTATCGACGATGGCCGTCAACTCGTCCTTGAGCAGCTCCATCATCGCGTGCCTGGCAAAGCCGATGGACCTCAGAGCGCGTACCGTCCAGGCACGCAATTCCTTCCATTCGACACCGTCGTTCATCGTGATCCCTGATCCCAACGATTTTTAATTAATTCTAATAATCTTGACGACTCTTGCCCTCTGTCTTTCATCAGCAAGTCGAATTTAATTGTTGAGAGACTTCTCCTTTAAAGCGCCGATCGCGAATCAGATTATTCTCTCTCAATTTTTCATTTACGAGAAAATTTAAACTTGGAAGTTTCGTACGTTTTGAGTGGTTTTGCATTAAGCATTGAGAAAAATTTAAATTTATCTTTACATTTATTAAAAATTATGCTCCTTTATAATTTACGATAAAAAATAGAAATATTAAATACTGACAATATATATTCAAGACAAAAGATATATAGTATTATACCTAAATGCACACTCACATAAATAATTTATTTGACAAATAAAATAGAAAAGAATCCCATCTTTCTCTTATTTTTATTCAACGAAAATGCTGATATCGAGCTATGTGCGTTTGATGAGATTATAATTTTTTATATTGTTGAAATATAAAATATGAAACCGATTTTTAACCAAATTCTAAACTTAAATATAACGGATTTCGATCGAACTCATTGTATTTATTTGTAAATTTACCTTTTCTGAGTCCCATGTTTCGCATCTTTGTAAACTCATTCCAAGGACGTCCGTCGTAATCTTCGCTGAGACATATTTCTTGTATAAGCTTCTTGCCAGTGACAACAATCAGGTTATTGGTGCCCAAACGTAAACTTATGATGTTGCTATTGTAAATCTTGCTGAGTTCCAGAAACGCCATGTGTTGCCCACCGTGTTTATGCGTTAAATTTCTTAAATAATATCGATTTCCAATAAATGGCCATGGAAAGGGACCTAAAAATTACGGCTTCTTGAATATGAAAATTAGATATACAAAGCACTTAATTTATCGTCATCAAGTATAAATTATCCCTAAAATAACATTTCTTTCATTACTTTAAATTCTATGAAATACGTATTCTTATTAAATAAATTTCCGATATCGCGATAACGAATTTTTCGAACATGATTATTTCATTAACTAATTATTTCGATAAATATTTCGCGTATATTATTTCTCCTGTCATTTTCTGTTTCGCTTGTTTTAATCTTTAAAAATAATATCTTTTTAAAATTGTTTTTAACTTTTTAATTTACCGAGTAGAGTAATTTTGTTCTATTTTTCCTACTTATCGCAACGATAATCTCACGTAGTTTCCGCGAAATCTAATTTCTGTTTATTTTTATCTTCTCGAAAAGTATACCCGGCTAGCACATCAACTGCTGAATACGTCGACTTTCTTTGTAAATATTAGAAAATATTTTAATACTTTCTAATTGCAAAGTGCGGATTTTATTATATTTTATTTCTACATATATATTGGCTTTAAATTGAGACTAACAATAAGACATATAATCAATGAGATTATTTAAGCGTCAAAACTTTAAGAAAATACGTTAAAAAATAAATTTCAACGCAAAAAACTGACGTTTACATAATATATTGCCAATTTCTATTTGCGATATGTCATTTTAAATTAAACAAACTCTTTCCAATTATGGATTTGTTCAACTAAATTCGCGAGTAAATTCAAAGAATATCGGAGACATCGAATATCGAACATCCATTATCAAAAGACACGGTCGTATCTCGGCGCTAAAGAATATACGCACGAGATCGGACCGTTTGTCTTTAAAATTTCCCAGATAGCACAGAGAATGAAAAAAGAACTGTTATATGTCACCAATTCTGAGTTCATTTTCAGATGCAAAAAGATTTCTTTTTCTAAAGGAATTCTTTTTGCACCTGAAAATAAATTCAGAATTGATGACATAAAACTGAATATACTAATAAATTCTTTTGGGCTCTGTGTGCTATCTGGGTTCACATTACTCTTTGTAATTGTAATGTCAATGAAGCTAATTCGAAGTTTAACCTTCAATTAACTTGAATCTTCGAATCTAGCTTATCTTCTATCTCATTTAATGTGTAACACGAACGTTTGTATTTACTATAACTTTGTAAATTTTAAAATTAACTATATATATGAGACACTTTAATTTAAAACAATAATCAAGAAATATTAATTCTTCCTTCATCTTTCTTATAAATGTTAAAATACTTAATATCGCTAAAAAAAGCCCGAAACATACGAAAGGAAAATTTTGTATTGATATGTAACTGTATGTTTGAAGATAAAAATTGTTTTACGCACCAAGTTCTGCATAGTAGCTTCTTATAGTGTCTGATTTAATATTTCCTAATTATTGTTTTGTAAATTTTGTTAAGAGCAGTGAAAATATTATTTTATGCCAACTGACATTTTGTGAAATAAATAACATAATTATAAATTATTAAACATCCATTTTATTTATACAATTTCAAATTTTAATAGAATATTTATTTTCATGAATTTATAAGTTAACGCGCGTTTCTATTAATTTTCTTCATCATTCTTCAATATAATAAAATAATAATAATATTAAAAGAAATTAAATTGCTTAATAAGAATTCACTAGTATATAATTAAGGATTAATATTAAACTTATTAATTTTGTTTAATTACTTAGACAGCAAAGAAAGACATGTATTAAACATTATATACATATCTTTATTATCATGACATGAATTAAACATTATATACATCTCTATTATCATTTTTAATTAATTCACTTCTGATTTTAATATTCAGTACGCAAAAATTTGTTTAGTCTTGCCCTGATAAATTATTTATCAAAGAGTAATACTAAAGTATAATACTATATACAATATCAACAGACAAAAATATCTTCCCTTGCATGAGAAATATTCTATGAACTAGATCATAGAACCGTTCTCCAACAATCGACAAGTTAAAATCAAGAATTAAAATTCAATTTTACGTGTATGGTGTAATTGTTATTCTTGAATTCGCTCTTGTAGAAGAAGGCCAAAGTATTAATAAGTAAATTACCTGGCGGACGCCTCGGTCTCTGTCGCAACACCAGAGTAATAAGAAGAACAGTTAAAATCGCCACAGCTACGACCACAATCATCGTGTCTCGTTCTGTCCTTTATCGTGCCGAGCACGTGCTTTCCGAAATAGATTGTCGCGTTCTGCTCGCCTGAATGGCTCCGTGGAAGAGTTTTAAGAAGCAGTAGCTCCTTCCGAATTGGATAAAGATTTGTCCAATCAGTAACGTCTACGTGTCTAGCCCGATAAGACATATAGCTGAAACTAATATGACCTGCCTACGGGAATAATCTCACGTCTCAGCAGGGCGCAAAGAAAAAAAAGAAACTGTCGGATCTACACAACGGGTAGCGCGGGACAAATTGATCCGCTGATACGATTCGTACGCGCGAACCATCATCGCATGCACGAGCAACAAAATTGTCTCGCATGTGTGAACCGACTTGTGTAACTGGCCTGATTATCGTCACATCCGGCGAACGGTGATGACGAATTGCTATTCTCTGTCGCGCGCATGAGAAAGCTTCTGTGTTTCTCTTAACGAAGTTCTAACGGTCTCCAGTTATCTATACCTAAATTAGTGTACACTCTTTACACTTAAAATTAAATAATTAATATACATTTGATATTTGACAAAAGCGAGAAGGAAAGTTCTAGTGCAGTCCAGTGCAGGAATAGACTTATTATTATTTGATCTTGATACAACGGTAACATACCTGAAATAAGACATATAATTGACTGGAAATCGGCATTATAAACGATTAGATAAGGTTGATAAGGCTACGCGGAATTGTGATTCTATATACGACGATAAATTTGGAATTCATAAAGAATCGTTAAAGATCATTGAAGATATAGCGCCAGATTATGCGCGATTTGTATAATTCGACATGGTGCAAAATTCGTATGATGTATATTCAAATAAATGGACGGTATTCACCGAGCTTACATTCATACATATGCTATTCGTTTTCGCTAACAGAGCGGTTTCTTCGACGTAAATTAAAAAACGTAAATTACACATATATCTGACGCTAGCTTGACAGAATGCCTGCAGGAGAGAAAAATATTATTGCTTGCTACACGCAACAGTCACTCTTTACGACAATTACGACACAATCTACTCTAATTACGATTCACGTTGATGGCACGAGAAACAAGCATTCTACCTTTCAGTTAACTCTGCGATCTGGCGGGTTCGCGAATTGTCCCGGTCTCATATACATATAATATAAATGAGCCGCGAACTTCTCAGCTAATGTAGGGGAAAAAATTTTCACAATGTATGCAAATATGTATTGTGCTAATATTTATTTCGTGTTATCTTAACACTAAAAACTATCTTTTTTTAAAACTATACTTAAGCTTATCAAGTTTTCTTAATATTATGTGTTTAACATTTTGCTGTAATGTAGAATATGTATATATGTGCAAATATCTGCTTTATCTATTCGCGCGCATTTTTTTTTGCATCACATAAACACCATTTTCAAAAAAAATAAAATAATAACAATCGAACTGTAAAATAGGTCAAACTAACGAGCACTATAGTAAGGTGATACTTAAATACAAAATATAAAATTTTTTAAAAGCGGACAGACGCGGTACATGTTTCAACTTTACTTAATCTTCTTCAGCAAAAATACAAATAATTAGCGAAAAAAACATGAGTCGCATAGTCGGTATATAACGATAACTTGATAAATTAGTGTAAAGAAAACAAAAGTTACATAGTCATTGAGATTAAACGAATATTCTGAATACGAATCATATGACATATCTATAATGACGCATTCTAAGGTCAGCATATAATAAACTAACAATATCTAAGACAAGCTCGTCAATGTAATAACCGCGTAATGTACCGCGTCTGTTCGCTTTTAATAAATTTTATATTTTGTATTTAAGTGTCAACTTATTAGTGCTCATTGGTTTGGCCTATTTATAGTTTGATTGTTATTACATTAACGAGCTTGTCTTATATTGTTAGAACAAAATAAATTCTTTGTAGAATCTACGTCCTAAGATTATATATCTAGTAAGAAACATACCAAGATTATCTATAAAATTAATAATGTTTAAGAAAAGATTAAAGAAAATTCAAAACTTTAATAATTTTATCGTAAATAAATTTTTATTTCAGTCAGGCATTTTGGTACAGTCGTGCACATATCGGTTGCGACATTTTTTCATGGGTTTTTAGTATATATATTTATTATTTAATACATATAATATATATTTTATAGGTAACTAATATTTTGCAAGTGCGAATCACGATAGGTATCATCTTTAGTCTAGAGACAGTACATCAATCGTGGTTCGCATTTACAAAATATTAGTGCGTTTCCAAACCTATTAAAAAAAAGTGTCGCAACCGATATATCCACGGAAATTCACGAAAATATATATTCTTTAATTTTATATTTTTTAAGTATAAAAACGAATATTTATTTCTATATGTACATTATATATGTGACAATAATTTATGTATTTACAATCGTGTATTAAAAAATTGAATATTTATTTGCATGTTAAAAATATATAATTTTTATTTTGTCCGATAATTATTTTACATTTTGTTACACGTCTTAGTTATTAATTTATGTATATATGCACGGTATGTCATCCAAAATTATGGTATAATCAGAAAGGATGATTTGTCGTGCAAAAGTAAAATTTCTTCGCGCAAAGTGCTTGTCTCAAAAAAATAAAAGTTTTGAGAAAATGTTTTTTATAAAATAAAAAATCAATATTATCCTTTATTAACCATATTGAGAATTTTCCTTTTTCTGATTGTATCGTGATTCCGAATGCACTGTATATACATACTTAAATATTTCAAGTATAATAAATATAATAAGAAACAAAGAATAAAAATTCAAAATCATAAAATCAAGCATAGATACACATAAAATAAAAAAAAAACGTAAAATAAGAACATAAAAACAAAATAAACATAAACATGAAAATAAAAATTAAAATAAATTTTACTTCCTCAAATACAGATTTCATATAGTTTATATAATGTATAAATATGTGGATCTCCTATGTACGATCTAACTCTTACGCGGAAATAAAAAGCTTGGATCTGATATTTAAGCTGGTAGCTCATTTTTATTACGTGGCCGTTTTAAGTAATAATAATAAAAATCTCTATATCTTATAATATCTTAAGACTCGATGAAAATCAGCCTTAGATTAAGAAATTAGGTCATTTTTTGGAATTTTAATTAACTTTATCTTTATTCTTAAATATAACAAGAAGTAACAAAATATTTATCGAGAATATTAGGTATGTTAATATTGTATAGAATGATAGAGAATCTATAAATCATTATTCGTTAAAATCTGTATCAACTATTGTTACTTAGGTTACGCATTGGAGATTGAAGATTAGAATTCAGTCAATTAGAATGAAACGGACTAAAACTATATGATTGATAAAATTCTAATCTTTAATTCGCAATTCTCAATCTTTGCAATGCGTCATCTGGTATATTTATTTCGATCTTATATCTGTTTTTGTTTTTAAGTGAGAATGAAATTGTTTCGTTAGCCAGAGATTTTGTAAACGGAATATTATTTATCTCGATTTGATAATATCAATTTGTAAAACAGTGCGTAAATAAGCAGAGGCACAGAGCGTGAATTGGAGCGTAAAATAATTTACGCGATTTTTACAGTATAGACATTACGCCTGCATATTTTTTAGTTACACTTTTGATGCGTTATTTTTTTTTATTCGTATTTTTCTTTCAAGAATGAATATACATTCTTTGTGTCTCCAATTCAAAAAAGTGTAATTATCTCATCGGGTCATGGAAATTGTAATTTTTCGATTGTCATGCACGATACATTTCGAAAACACAAAGTACTTTTATAATTAGCAAATAGTCATCGGAACTTGTTACAAAATTTTTCGAATATTCCGACAGTTCTGAATATCCATAATCCGTTGATAATATATTAGAAAATAACAACAAATTCCGGCTTACTTGAATTCTTTTAACAAATTGTAACAAATTGATAGTATATCTTCCTCAGAGAGCCTTTTTCCCTTCACAGTTTTCAACCAATCACATTTTATTAATAATAACGGACATTAACATCCTCAGAGTTTTTTTCCTTTTACAGTATTCAACCAATCATATTTTATTAATAACAACGAACATTAACATACTTTTCAACAGTTACGTATTTATTAAAAAGCAAAAGAAAAACAATAATAAAATATAAAATGTAGTCTTTCTAAAAATATTACGTATTGCATAATATATAATGCATTATACGTACATAATCAGATATTATGCATGATGTATACATTTACATATAGCGTTATATAAAAAAAATTAAGTCGAAAAGTCCTAAACCATTTTTTTTACAATAACGCAATCACTACTGCAGTAATTATAGCTTCATTGAGCATTAACAACTTTGTAAAAAATAAAAATCCGGTTAATAGCACAGAAAAGAAGAGAAAAATATCAAACATATGGATTGATTTCATTTTCTTATATTTATCGTGTTGTTTAGCTTCAAAAAAATTTTTTCTATATTATTATTAATTGAAGAAAAGTTAAAAATTTTAAATCGGAGACATTGAAGGCTCTTAGACTTCTTGGAAATATTGGAACGGATAATGAAACTTTAAACCTTGATATTATATTTTCTTAAAAAATATACATTTTAATATAAAAATAAGTTTTAAAAATGACATATATCTTTATTGTGCAATACTTAGTTATAAATTTTATTGTCTAAATGATGAAAAAAATTATGCTTTATAAAATTTATCTATAAGTGTCTATAATACTCTCCTACTTCTGGAGAAATAAATAGCAGTTAAACTATTTAATTTATACACGCTTATATAAATATTTACAGACAACAATTATCTGTGTACGTAAATTATTTATATACCTAAATTGTTTATTTAAACTTTTTAAGAATTTTTTAATCTAAATTATATTACATTATAATACAGTATAATTACAAGTTATCCAGTTCTATTTTTTTTTTACGTTTTTTTACTGTTTTGTTTCCTTTTATAGTCTCCATTTTTCTTTTTTTAGCCTCTTTCTTTTTTTGTTGTTTACCCAGTTTACGTTTAGCTGCTAGATCAGGATCAATCACAAACTGGTGACACAAAAAAAATAACGTATAAACTTTCTGAGCACTTATATTCATAAAGTTTAACAAATACATAAACATGAATATCCTGTAGTATAAAAATTAACAAAGATATAAAATAAATTTACCTGTTGCGCACGAACTTTTCTCCTTTCCGCTTTCTTAATGTCCAATTTTTGTTGCACTCGATTTAATAATTTGACATATTCCGTATTTCCTATAGACTTTTTAATCATGGCAGCTACTTCTTTGGCAAGTCGACGTAATTCAGCGTTCGTTTCTTCCGTTGTAGCCATTTCCCGTACCAATTGAGACATGATATTAAAAAGTATCGCATTTAGATTCTTTATAGGCACTGTAGTTACTATACCCGCAATAAACTTAAACGTTGCAGTTCTCTGAAAATGGTAATGTTGTTTATATGGTTTGTATTTTTCGATATATAGTTTTCACAGATACATACATATCCGATGTAAAATATGTATTTATAATTTTCTAAGATACACATAGATAGTTTTCATAGATACATAGATATCTAGTAAATAATAAGAATGTTACTACGACTTTTCTTACCACTGATGTTGATTTGGGAGCTTGCGTTATTTCTATATTAACAGCTTTTCTCAGTCTTCTAATAAGCCAAAGAAGAGACAAATTATTACTATTTGCCGCCTTATTCTTGTCATCTTGCTCATCATCTTTCGCAGCGGACGCTTCGACCGAGTTCAACATTTTTGCAATAAAGATTAGATTCTTCACAACTTGATCCGCTAACTGCTCGAATGTCATATCCGGATAAAGTTGAGCCACTAAGTCTAGAATCAAGCTCTTCAGAGTTTCACCGGGCCTCGAGTACAAGTAGCCCTCGTGTACTCCATCGCTCTCTGGATTATTTAAAAGTTCCACGACTTTATCAACGTCAAGGGCAGCCAAAACAAAACCAATCATTTGCGCCGCCGCTAATCGAGCCCACAGATGCGGATGCGCCAGCAATGATTGGCAATATTCTGAAATAAAAAAACAAAGCTGCAATGTTTACTGAAAACAAGTGCTTTAGAAAAATGTTTGAGAAATAATAGCTTACCGGCGAAACAGTCAATGGAATTTTTGTACTTTTCATTTGTGAGAAAAGATGTGTAACGTGCTATTTTCAGTAGCAGTTGTAACACTTGAATTATATGATGATCTTTCGTTCTTTCATCCTTCGAATTGGGATCATTCGGCTTTGCATTAGGTAACATTGGGTATTTTGAGAATTCCACGGTGTCGGAAACAGAGAAGTGATTGTAAAACTGCTTCAGTAACAACGGCAAGAGCTGAGGGAGGCGCGAGTCAAAATCATTTTGCTCGACCGTCACGAATATGCCGCATAACTGTGCCGCCAATGTTCGGTATCTTATTGTGGAATCGCTCAGCCATTGAATCGGCCACTTGTCGAACAGCTTATTCCTGTCATTGGACGATATCCGCGTAAGTATTTCTTTTATACATTTCGCGCAAAGTTTGCGACAGGTCGGATCGTCGTCGTCTATCAATCTCGCGCCGGTCATCAGAAATATCATTTCCGCTCTTGTGGCTAGCGTTTTCAACGGGAATCCCGTGACGATGGTGTGGATCATTTCCAGCGCGCTCAATCGGCCCGGTTGCGTCTCGTAACTCAACTGAGTGAGATAGAAGTATATATGTTTGTTCAAGTGCTTGCCAAGCGGATAGCCCATGAGATAAGAGTAGAACACCGAGCGCGATTGCAATTTAACGTGCTCCAGCTCCGAGGTGACGCTCAGCATCGCCACCTTCTCCATGACGGCGTGCATCTCGGCGATAATCATTTTTCGATGTATTATAGCCTTGAGCAAGGTGAACGCGGTAGCGTGCTTCTCGCTGTCGTGTAGATCCTGCTCCGCATACAAGAGAAGTATCTTCAGCTGGTCGGCATCAATGCTGAAGTACTTCACGTCGCGGACGACCACGGACATGCATTTGAACGTGGCCGTCACAAGATCGAAGTTGTCCCCCTTGCTCAATCCCGCGGCGGCGTATTTGTGCAAAATACCGAACATGGAGGTGCAGATGTCCGATATCGCTGCGCGCATCGATTCCAAGTCCATCTTGAGCATCCAATTCAAGCACTGCAATGCCACGGTGCACAGCTTGACGTGGTGGGATCTCAGGCAATCGCTTAAAACCGACACGAACGGTTCCAGGTAACGTTTGTACTCCACACCGGCGACCTTGTCCCGCTTCAACAATATGTGATGCAGTTTCAGGCCGAATTCTATCATTACATGAGCGTTGGCGTGCTTGGTAGTTTTTGCGGAAGCTTTAATGCCCATCCTGTTTTTCGGCTCCGGTGGTACGAGAAAATAATTCGATCGCTGCGTCAAAGCTCCTCTCGTTTCCTTCCTCCGTTCCTCCTCCGCGAGATTTTTACCTTCCTTTTCGGGCATAAGGCTTGGTATGCTTTCCGAAATGATACCGTAGAGAAATACGAGCATTTGTTCTAACGGTATATAAGCGTTGTCCGCCAATCCCAAAGTTACGTTTCGGAGGCATTCCACAATCTTGTGTATCGTTTTATGCGAGTGCGTCTTCATTAGGACTTCTTTCAACGGCAGAATTAAGTCCAGTAAGCAAGATTCTGTTATAAACTCCGCTAAGATGTGGAAAATATCAAAGCTCTTGGTACTCCTTGCCTCTGACACATTTTTGACAATACCAGCTACCTCCTTTTCTTCTGCCGTCAATCCAAATAGATCCACTTTGCACACCTACGTAAAAATAATTATTTGAAGACACACGCATTGTTTAAAATATTTGCTCAAACTTTAATGTATTATATTAATTTTTATCGATAAGAATACATAATTCCAGATTCATAAATACATTCTTTCAAAATTTCCGATATTAAAATAAAATACATATATAATTACAGATCCATAAATAAATTTTTTCAAAATTTTCGATATTAAAATTTCCAGCATCCAAATAAATTGTCGAAAATGTAGATATATATTATTTAAAATTGATTAGCAGAAAAAAAAAATTATAATTAAACATTAAATAATACGATGTATACTACGGATGCATTGCAAATAATATCAATATATTAGTCATTAATCCAATTAATAAATACACTTAATAGAACGTATGGCAGTAACTTGTATAATCAAACATTTCAGAAATACTTACAGATAGAATGCTTTGCAAATTATTATTAATATCACGTTTCTGGTAGTAAGGTTTCAGCGCGAATAGCACAGCCTGTATTGTGTACACGAGAACGTGCACTTGGAAGCCTTTTGTCAACAGTGTATTCATTTCCTTCAAAAGATGATGGAGATACTTCGGTCCTAAAGTTATCATAATTTTCTGCAGCGTCTCGCGAGTCGAACGTCGAACTGATTCCAGACGTGATTTGAGAAATGTACACAGTTTCATAAAGATTCTGAAAAAAAATATATATATATATATGCGTTACACAATTGTTCAAAATTGTTATATATAAATTTTTTTTCCTTGAAATCCTTCAAATCCGAGAATCAAAAATTATTGCTATTTGAACGAAATAATTTTTGAACACGTAAAAAAATGCAAGACATCTCTATGACATCGCGTACTTACCCTGGCAAATTTGCGTCCAGAAGATTCTCGGGCATTTTCTGCAGCAACTTAACAAGCGCGAGGGCAATGGGAACTCTCAGTAAATCGTCCTCCTCCGTCTCGGAGGCGATTTTCTTCTTGTTGACTTTATGACTGCTCTCCTGCCGAGTTCTCGCCACGATGGCTCGATGCAGTTGGGGCAACAAGCCTTTCGATATACTGAACACCACCCTTTTCGCGCCGTATTGAGAAAGTAGCGTTTGCCTTTCAATCACCGGTAAGTCTTCCTTTATCACCTCTTCCTTATCCTTTTCCATTATCTCTTCAATACCTTCAACATTCTCGTCGTTCAGCGCTTCCTCCAATTTTTCCTCATCTCCTTGCTCCGTGCTTTCGCGGTTCTCATCTTCACCGATCGCTTCCTTAGCTTCTTCCGTTTCAGCGACAAGAGCGGCGTTATCTTCAGTTGCTGTCGAGGTGGCTTCGGTTCGCGTTATTTTCTCCACCGGTTTGTACTTCGAAAGATCGTAATGGAAAGAGTCTAATATCGTTACTACTATTCTAATGACTTGCCTCTGGAATTCCGTAGAGGTTCTCAGCTTGCCCAAATAGTACTTCAAAATGATCTCGTAGTGGTGCCACGGTAACAGCCTGCACACCACTCCGACAGTCTCGATAGCGGCGTCAACGAGGCTGTTCTTATGGATGAACGTCTCGTTGCATAAATACGACGAGCAGAGCGGCAGAATGAATTGCGTCAACGTTTTAGGATTAAACGGCTCCCGCGATGTCTTGGCGAGTGTGCAGAACTTGAGTAAGGCGCGGGCTCTCCTGTACAGTTGCAGATGTCGCATGTTCTCGAAGAAGTCGACCTCAGGATCGGCCTCGTTGGCAAGGAGGGACAAGTCCCGTAAAACGGGATGCACGTCCGCGCATTTCAGGGCCATGTGTCCCAAAAGCGATATTGATTGAAGGTAAACAGCTTCCTTCTTGCTCGCAATACCCTTCCTGGTGAGCGCCAGGATAGTGTCGTCCATCAAATAACGCCTATTCAGAACGTTACTCTGGTGCTCCCTCGCCAGTGCCTCCGCGACGAGCTTCAGGCACTCGCCGGAGGAGTCTCGCATCGCCAAATCCGACTCGGTCTTCAGGAAGTAAAAGCAGTTGTGTATCACAGTCACGCCGAACTCCAGCGGGATCGCGTTCCTCCTGGCCATATCGCCGATCAGCTCGAAAGCGTTCAGTCTCTCCTGAAAGTCCGGTTGATCGATCCACCTGTGATCCCACGCGTTAAGCATGGCCAGAATCTTGTAACAAGTCATCACCTCGCGATCATCCTCCACGGACTTCTCGGCGACGGTACGGTACACCTGCAGAAGAGTTTTGCGAGCGGGCACGTCCGATATGAGGCCGATCAACGGCGCGATGGAACGCGCGTGAGTCTCCGGGCGATTCACAATTTTTACGAGATTCGTGACGGTCGTCAGCAGTCCCGTAACAGCCTCCTCATTGCCGCCGGACGTGGCCCTCCTGATTAACACAGGTATTATTAGCTTCAGCACCGTGTCGCACGTCTCGGCATCCGTGACGAATTCGGAGATTCGCGACAGTATGGTCAGCTCGGTCCTGTTTATATTCCTATTGGATCTTTGAAGTCTGCCTCGGATGAATTCCAGAACGCGAGGGACATGCGGCAGAAGTACAGCGGAGCCGTAGTTGACCCCGCTCGAGAGTACCTTCTCCTCCACCTCGAGCGTATTCGTGAGAATCGGCGTCAGCGGCAAGAACGGCGTGTCCACCTGCATCGCATCTTCGTTGAGTTTCCCGTAGTCCTGCAGCGTCAGCATCTTCTCGATTATCTCCAGGATGGCATTCACGACGGACTGATGCGTCTTGGGATTCGACAGGAGTTGCATGATGTACGGGAGAGGAGTGACCGACTCGTCGTCCTCCTGATGCTTCGCGAACAACGGGTAGTACCGCGAGTTCTGGCCCCACGCCATGAACAGCTTCAGCAGGGCCGTAGGACTGTGTATACCCTCGACCGGCAGCTTCTGCAACAGGGGGAATATCGCGACGTGATAGACCGCGTCTATCTCGTGCCGCCGCCAGTCGTAGTCCTCGAAGTGCGTGAAGAATCTGGCCAGTATGCCGACGCAGCTCGTCCTCACGGTCTTGATCGTCGTCAGGTATCCCGGGTGAACCTCCGCCGATCTCCGCAGAATTCCATTCGTCTCGGCCAGGATGCAAATCAGTATCCTGAGCAGACGCGGCAGTAACTTGGTCGACATTTTCCCGCCGAATTCTTCTATCACTATCGCCAACAGATTCACGGCGCTCTGCATGCGTTTGGGCGGCATGACGTTGTTCAAGTCGATGGTGTCGACGATTTTCTCGACGTACTTCCTCAAGTCAAACGCCTCGTCCGCTTCCAGCAACACGTACGACCTGAGTGATCTGAATGCCATTTTGATGAATATGATCATCTCATCCTCCTGCGCACCGCCCAGAAAGCGCAGTATGATCTTCCGCCGTGCAAAACCACCGGCTTTCCCGCCGGTCCTCATGCCGGTCTTCGCAATCATTTTGGCGTAAATAATTCTCATTATGATCGGCATGAGATTCTCGCGATGCTCCTCCACTATCATGTTGCTCTCCCGATCCAGCTTGAAGCGCGCGAGCTCGTTTTTAAAATTCTTCTCGTTTATCAGACCGTACAGCGACTCCTTGTACGGTAAAAGGTACTTGTACTTGTACGCGAAGAGGCAGTTCAGCGCGGCTCTCTGTATGTCGGCGTTTCTCGAAGAGATCAAGTCCAGGTAGATCTGACGCATCTCCGCTTCTCTGTGCATCATTCTCGGATTCTGCACTTTGTCGAATATCTCCATCTGAGCGAGCAAAAGTTTCACTTTGCAATTTCTCCTCATCGCGTCCGCTTGCGCGACTTTTACCTCGCCCTCGTCGCGCTCCTCGTTCTCGTCCTTCTCGTCATCCACGTCGTTGTCCGCGTCGATCAATTCCTTGCGTTTCTCGACGTCGCAACACTTGCCCTCATCGGAGTTGGATCTGAAGAAATTCGCATTCACGAAATCGATGAACAATCCGGTCAGGTCTCTGTTCTTCGTCTCGGCGTAATGCGAGAAGTGCGCCATGCACTTCCAGAGGAGGATCCTGTAATTCTCGAAATCGGGCTTGTCGTCGTGCCTCGCTATCCGCATCTCCAACGACGAGATCACGTGGCAATTGAACGACGATCTCGGTTCGGCCTCCGGTACGTTGTTAGACGTCAATTCGGCCAGAAACGTCGGCCAGAACTGCGGGCACTCCTTGTTGCTGTAACTAGCTACGATTGCGCTCACAGGCTGCCAGAGCAGAGAAAAATTGACGTACAAGTTGCCTACGACGCAACGCAACGGAAATTCGTGATACCTCGGATCGAGATTGGCTAACGCATAACTCTGAAATCCTAGAGCTTGCAGATGCAACAGCTTGCCGCGGTAGCTCTGTATCGTCACGGATTCGCGTTCCGCCAAATATACAAGCTCCATAGCACTTTTGCCATCATCGGACGCCGAGGGCCTCTTCAGAGCTTCGACATTAGAAAACAGGGAATACAAGTGTGATACAGTCAATCGAACGTTGCCGTAAGGTGAACTAAATTTTTTCACTAAACTGTCGTTCAATTTGTCAAACGACGCTAAATTTATATAGTCCGCGTGATGCTGCGACGCAGCAAAATACGTCATGCAGAGATCTATCGCGTTTAAGATATACCTATTGTCGTGACGTTCGTTAACGAGATCGATTATTTTTATGTCAGATTTTACGAAAAATTCGTGGAGATCGCTCGGCTCCGATACATGTATCAACGACTCCAACGTTAATAAAAATACGAAAACGGCTTTATTAATATCCGCGGCGTCACCCGCATCATCGTGTTTCAGCAGTTTTTTATATAAAAATAACAAGCCGTCTTTCAACGTATTCCTAAATTCTTCGCGTAACGGCTTCAGATGTGGCAAAATTACCAAAATTCTCAGTGCGTCGAGCGAAACAGCGTCAGTGGCTAATGTTTTCAATTCCAGCAGAAGATAACCACTACTGTCCATTCCGATGTTCCGTACATCCAAAATGTACTTTTTCCATTTGTCCAGAGTAATACCGCTGAGGCAAGGTGACGCTTTCGCGAGGATTACTTTAGCGAGCAGAAGCAACGTCCTGTTGCTTAATCCAGTGGATATGCTGCGCCGCAACACGTGCGGCAACACCAAAGTTTCGAACGACGAGTAGTGTATTAAATTTTCCACAGAGGAGTACAATAATTCGGTATCGTTCACCGTCATAATTTTCAGCAACAGTTGACTCGAGGTTTCCTGCATCAACTTGACGCTTGACGCCAAGAGAATGGCTACGGACACGTTGATGACTTCTTGCAAGATACTCTTGTCCTCGCTCAACGCGTCCATCACGACGGTACATCTTTTCGTCAAAGGCACAGCGTCGGTTAAGAACCTACCGTTTTTACAGCTGATAACGACATGCACGAGACGCAAGAGTAGAACTAAAGCGTGTGTCTTTATATTGGATTCCGGCAATTGCTTCGACCTTTCGACAAACGTGTCCATCACTTTTAGTATAACATTCCACATGATGTCGCATTTTTGTGGATGTACGTTTTGCAGGATGCACGTTACGATCTCTCGCAGTACTTCGTAAGTGAGCCTCTGGTCGACAGACTCGTCTTGCAGAGCATTGAAATAAAGCAGCAGCGTCTGCTCGCCGCAGGAGTGAAACTGTCCTGGCGTGCCGGATATCACTTCGAACAATAACTTTCCACAACCCGATATCCCATTTTCCTTGTCGTTTTCGTGTCTATCCTCCAGGATACGTAACACCAGTTTGAGGAAAGAGTCCTTATCCTTGATCTTGCGAACTACAAATGCGAAGCTCTCGGCGGCAAATCTGTTCACATATTCCGGCTGCGTGTCGGCCAGCAGCGGCAGCAGCAGGGGCACCACAGTCTCCACGTTTCTCGTCAGATATCGCCATAGAAATTTAAACAAATACGCCAGAGTGGTGAACGTGTACTCCACCTGCTCGGCGTCTTTCGTCTGCAGCAGGGAGATTATTTCGGACAGAAAGTCTGGGAAATAATCGTAAAACTCTTTCTGAAGGTCTCTCGCCACAGCTATCACCAATCTACAGGGAAACAAGAGGACAAGCGGAGATAGCAACGAAAGTCTTTCAATGTGTTCAATTTACGTGCCACTGGACGCGCTACTTACTCCAAGATCGGCTGCAGGAACAGGGGATCTCGTTTTCTCAGATACAACATAAGCATGTCGATCACGTGCTGCTTCCTGTGAAGCAGCTGCGGCAGCGTGACGATGTCCCGCACCTGCCTCCTGAAGGTGGTGTAGCCGTCCGTCAGGTTGAGAACGTTCCATTTCACTAGCGTCTCGTGAAAATAGGTCTCGACCTCCTCGTCGGCGTCGTCCTCGTTCCGATGTGCCACACGGTGGAAGATGTCGACGTCGATCTCCGACACTCGCTCGGAGAACGGCTTGAACTACGAAAGAAAGACCGGTTTCAGAGCGCAAACGACCTAACCTCACACTGCCGCCGTCGACTTCACTCACCCGAAAGACGTTCGCCTCCTTGTGACGGATCGGCTTGTTCTTCATGCTGATGAACTGTGGTTAACCGAACCGATGCATCGTTCGCTTCATTCAAACTGAGAGTGTGCCAGAGAAGTTCCAAATTTAGGCGGATCGTGTCCCACGTGCGAACACACCTACACGTGCAAATCACTGAAAATCTACGGCCTATGCCGCCTATGCAAACCGCGGTTTTTTGCCTATAACCTCGAAGGCTCGAAATGCCATTGTGCACTAACGTCATCTGAAGAAGTGAATGTAAACTACATAACAACATTCCACCTTTCTGCACCGCGGGTAAACAATTTGTGATACGTGTGCCTCTCTGCTTGCAGGCACGAGACACTGCCTTCCGGCTTCGTATAATATTCGTATACGTATACGAATATTATACGATATACAATTTTAATTTATAATTTGTAAAGTCTATACATTGTGAATACATAAATTCGAGCTTTTATATTAATTTCGCAAAATGTTTTTTGTATCTCGATCATTATGGCACAAAAGAGCGGTTAAAAACCATTTTAACATTTTATTTCGCGCTCAAGTAATTAACACGTAAATTTTATTACGTTGCTCACATGGGATAATATATAGGAATAACATATATCACGAAAAAGTATTAAAAAAGCGCAACTAAATCAGAATAGATTAATTGTGAAATTGATGTTGAAAATCAGTACTCACGATATTGCGGCGTTCTCCGATATCGTTCGCCAGTCAAACATCTTCCGCTGCACTTATCCAATACCACAGTATCCGAGATTGATTCAGGAGCATCTCTGCATCATTCCGCGTCGATTGCATGTCACTTTGTTTTACTCGCGATACACTCGCGAGTCGCGACAATATTCGCGAGATTGTATAATTTGATCAAGTTTCACAATTTAATTAATCGAGCAGTTATATTGAGCATTTATATCGGAAATGTCATTCGCGAATTCGGTTAAAGAATTTTCTACGTCCATGGTATGTGATGCCACTTGACACGCTCGCATACGCTTGACGAGAATCCACGATATCGATCCACAATGATAAACTCATTTTCCATTCATTTGATAATTTGCGAATTTATTTAAAGAATATTTATGTGACGAAATAAGTTCTTCTCTTTTCCCGC